GGAATCCAGAAAAAGCTAAACGGAATTTTTGAAATTGGAATTTGGGAAAAAATAAAACTTTAAAAAGAAAATTTCATTTCTATATTCTTTTACAATACACCTAATATTCAGTAACAGTACTGAATTGACTGCACTCACACCATTGGATGAGAACAAAACTTGAACTAAAATGAGCTCGATAATGAAAATTGTCTTATGTAGAGCTGCTTTGTACCTGAATCAAAACTGATTAATCAACATGAACTGAACTGACTTGAGTTGAATAACGACACAGTTGCCTTCTGTAGAGCTGCTTCATTTTTGAATTGAGCTCGCTTCATAACTAATGAACTGTACAATATTGACAAGGTTACTGAACTAATCTGAGCTGAATAATGACACTATTGTCTTTTTAAAGCTAAAATATGTTTCATAAGTGAAGAACATTAATACTGTTTTCCTGTATATTATTGTGAAGCTGCTTTGACACAATCTGTATTGTATAAAGCACGATATAAATAAATGTGACTATTACACGGTAATATACATATATATAAAAAATGTATATACTCATATTAACACATTAGTGCATAAAAAAGTTTTACATTGACACTGACTTCAGAAATAAGCAGTACCTTAACTGTTCCAACTCTTCAATCTCTGGGAGCCTCTCCTCTGGGATGTCCTCTAGAGCAAAGTGAATTTCTGGAACAGGGGATCTGAACCCATGACAGCGCACACATACTGCCAGAGTCATTATTCAGAGGCACTTAATTATGCAGCAACTGAATGAGAAACTCGCAAGTGTTAAACCAGTGACAGCTATTTCCATCTCACACTTTCTGTCTCTCTTTTAGCATCTCTCCTCTCACCGTCTCATTTCAGGAGTCTCCAGTGGAGAAAAATCCTTGTCTGTTGTCTCCAAAACCACCAACGAGGCTGCAAATTCATTCAAACATGAACATTTAGTATGTAAATGTAGCAGCTAAACACACCACAATAACTATAAAAAAAGTCAATCTGAGAAATTGTTTTACAAATCAGTATGTTTGGATGTAATGTGCTAATAGTTCACCTGGCGTTTCTTGCTGGGAGAGGCCAGACTCCAGCATTTCTCTGGGAATCTACAGTAGTAAGGATGTAGGACAATGTCACTAAAACACTCAAAAACATGTTTGGCCTAAATTTTATGATTTTCGTATTTGAATTGCATACAAAATTGCAGTAACACTTTATTTTAAGGTGCCCTTGTTACACATGTTACATGTACTTACTATTATAATAACAATTAATTATGCATAATTACATGCAAATAACCCTGAGCCAAACCCTAACTATATAGTAGGTACATGTAGTTAATTCATATTACTCAGTACTTAAATGTATAATTACACTGTAACAAGGACACCTTGAAATAAAGTGTAACCAAAATTTCCATCCATTCCAGCTATTTGCATCTATTTGATTTCATTTAAATAATCATATTTTCAAAATGTATTTATATAAATTTCTTTACATCAGCATAAATCCATTCATGTTGAAAACAATTAAATTTATTCCGTTATAAAGTATAAGCGGTTTAAATATGGCTAGTTGTGAAACAACTGATATTCAGTTCGTTAAAATGTATGAGAGTAAAACAACTTGGATTTATTGGTGACAAATTTATAAACCTGGTTATTGTGTATTTCAAACACATTCAGTTTATTGTTACCAGTACAGAAATATTACCTGTTTCATTTATGTATGACTGACAAACATGAATCACATTCATTTTAAAGGGGTCATATGATGCTATTTCAATTTTTCCTTTCTCTTTGGTAAAGAAAAATAACTTTCTTTTAATTTTCAAAAAAACATTATCACCCCTAACTGACAGGGATGAACCCAATATGGATGATCCTATCAATGTCTTTAAATGTGATTATGTAGAAAATAGTTCACAAGTCATGTATGATTGCTTTCTTGTTCATTCCACAGAAAGATCCGACTGATCTTTCGTCCTTTAGTGGCCGCCAACCTGAAAAATATATATTTGGTTAGAAGTTGTAAGTCATGCATCAGGTTCAACATTATATCGTATTAATGGTCAGATCCTGATTGTGGATTTTTTTATACAGTGAATATAAGCACACCTTAACAGTCCTTATTCACTAAAGAAAGAAAACGACAACCTACCAAATCGTGGCAAAGCACCCAGTCTGATGATTGAGCACCGTAGGATAAAAAAACATTGTCAGACAAGATCAATTTAGAGCAAAAGTTCAGCAAAAATGGCAATATCGTAATCAGTTGTGCTTTGCAAATAAGACAAACCAATCTAATTAAAGGGGTCATATGATGCTATTTTAAAGATCATTATTTGGTGTATTTGGTGTAACAGAATATGTT